GAAGATTGAGTGAAGTAAATGCAAGAGAATCCAAGAAGGAAGAAAAACCTCTCCAGCTTTCTTGGCGGCATCGACTGCAGTTGCAAGGTACTCCTCGAGAGGAACTAAAATCAAAATCAAACAGCATTTCTCACAAAATTAATAAATAAGGAGCGAGACCCATTATCTTGAATCGAAAAATGGAGCACATTGACGAATCAACGAGTAAACAATTAAACAACAGAGGTACAATTAGAGCAAAATTGAGGGGGAAAAAAAGGTCCGTACCATTTTCCGCCATTGATTGTTTTATAAAGCTGGCTCGTACTAGAGAGAGAGCTGAAGGAATTGAAGGAATGGAGATGATCGGATGATAAACAAATGATTTCGATCTAAGAGAAGACAGAAACATGTGATGCAAAAATCTGGTTACCCAAAATCTGAGAATAATCGTTGAAAATATTTGTACCGTACATAATTTAAAAATTTCAAAAAGATATTGAAGTAAAATTATAATACCCATGTTTTATTCACAATGAAAAAAAAAATACTCATGTTATATATGTATAATATACACGTCGATAAAAATATCAAGATCTTAATTTCATGGAAGGTCGATTGAAATATCGATAAAATATTGATTTTGATAGATTTCTAGAAATGATATAGAAATAAAAAAATTTAATAAAAACTATATAAATTTTAAATTAACAAATAAACCTTTCATCATTTCTAAATAAATTAAAAATAATTAGTATTAATATCATGTCACTATTAATTAGATTTTGTTTATATTTTTATATTTTGTCGATTTTTTTTAATAATATCACAAAAATGTCGATTTATTTTTTGTGTTGATGTCAAACGGATCTTTACCTTTGAAAAAAAATTTATGGATAAATTTATAGATATATATATATATATGTATGTATGTATTGTGTCGAAATGTTTTATAAGAAATCTATATTTCTTTTTTCAAAAAGGATAATTTATTGAAAACAAAATATGACCTTTGTACCAAAAGAATATGCCGAATATGCTCTCCCGTACTCGAATTTAATTTCCCATCTTCTCAAGATTTCGCTTTTTAATAAAAAATAAGAATTTAATTCCAATAGAATCTTTCCAATTTGCAGTGAATTATTTATTTATTTATTTTTATGAGACCAATTTGAACATAGGTCAACAAAATATCACCAACGCAATATCGACATGAGGAGTGAATTGATATTTCCTTAGATCAACAAAATATCACCAACGCAACATAATAATTAATATTGATAAATTTTAACTTATTTAGAAATGGTAAAAGTAGTATTTTTTTGTTAATTTAAATGTTCGTTATAATCTTTTTTAATAATTCTTTTCATAAATATCAATCGACATTGATATATGTCGATATTTTCATTGACATCTACCTTTAAAACTTTGAGTAATCTCTCAACCTAAATATTGCACTTTCATAGTTAGCAACTAGGTTAAATAGTACAAATTGGTATTTAACTTTTGATGTTGATTCTAGATCATCGGTAACATGTTGTTCATTGAAAAATTTGGACTGATTTGACACAATGTGACAAACACATGATAAAATAGAGTGGATACTTGAACAAACAAGCTCACATGGGCAACATGTACTCTCAT